TCCACGTAGCTCGTGCTTGGACTCGCCTTTCATCCAACCCCGTCCCTTTTGGGTGTCCAACTCACCCCGTTGACTTTCCGCGTGGAGCAACTGCGTGCCTCGGATGAGCCTGCAGCGACATGGCGGTCCCTCGGCGTGCGTTGTCTCCAGGGAGGTATTTCCCTCTTTTGTGGCTCTATCTCCAGCTTACAGGCGGCCATCATGCTTCTGTTGGATACAAAAGAGACCTCGTTGGGGCTTGATGCCGTCTTGGTTACCGCCATTTCGGGTGCGCGCAAACTTGGATTGCATCGCTTGGGCAATGCCATTTTGGATGCCTCGCCTTCCTTAGATTATGGCTCTGCGACCGCTGAACCACCTCACATTCGCACCGAGGTTGCGATTCGGATTTGGTAGGCACCCCAAATACCCGTATTTTTTCACTTGGGGCGAAGCGCTAATCATTCGGGACCACTAGGTGGGCTCTTGTCATAAGAGACTGGTCGCGCGGACAAGCTCTTGGCTACTATACCATCCGCCCCTCACAATTTAATACCCGGATGCCATTGCACCTCAAAGATGACGATCTGCTCAGGGCACATGGCAAGATTCCCGAGCGCCCTCGGTCTGAATTTACCATGCTGTCCTATACGGTACACGCGTTGGAGTTGTCCAGCATTGTGCGGGAATCAATTGATCTCGGGGACGCCGCAAACGAAGCTGCCCAGCGGCGCCAGCACCTCAATCGAAAGTACGAAAAATATGTGGCAAGTTTGCCGTCTTACTTTAGATTGGGAAGCACCGTCGGACTCACAGCCATGGGTCCCATGGCCGCCATCCCAGTCCAACGATTCATGTTGCATCAACAGCTGTGGAGTCTCCTCCTCCGCCTGCATCGCTCTACTCTCTCTTCTCCCATAGGACGCGCATCCTGCCAGCAGCTGGCTCATAACATTATCAACACGCAAGCCCAGATCCAAGCCCGCTGCACAGTTTGTGGCTCACTATCCACCAACGAAACGCAACTCTTCAACGCGACCGTTGTGCTGGTCTTGGGGCTGCTATTTGATTCTCCGTCGACCGAGGCCGAGCGCTCGAGTGCCCAACTCGGTCGCTTAATGACGCGAGACCATATTCGGGAGGCCATTGAACTGTTGCGTACCAAAATTTCGCCTGAGGGATCCTCCGGGGACGCTATACCCCAAGAGCCGCTCCAAAGCTCGGTGTCGCGCAGTGTTGTGGCCCTTGAGGCACTGATGAAGTTGGAAGAGGATTCAGGTGACGGTGTCAACCGCCATGCGGGATCGAACCAGAAGCGTCCCCTCTACCGCCAGGTGGTGGAGATCCTGAAGACCTTGAATGGTCCAACCACTCCCGCTGATTTACCCGTTCCAAGATTATCGACCCCTGGGGACACCTCTTTAACTCTCTCCATTCCTGTCGCGGACGGCTTCCCCGATCTAGATGTAATGCCCATTCTGTCCAATGGCCTGAGTCCTAATATGTGGGACTTCTTGGACTTCCAGCTACCGGAAGATGTAGGCAAAGAGAAGTTCTTGCCTATGGCCGGAGACGTTTACGGGGCAATGGGTGTTACCCACGCTTTGTATCCAAGCCAAAGCAATAGCCTCTCGGGGACGCGCTTGACCCATGAATCCCTGTCGTCTATGGGGAGTGAACCCACGTTGGACCCCGCGACGACCCCTTCGAGCGCTGACGCCTTTGCGGCTGCTAACTTTTACGAAGTCATGGGAAATGGGGGCCTTCCTCCCTGGTGAGACATTGGCCGACCGGTTGCACTCGGACTATATGCCCAGGTGTACAGTATGTGTGTGACATCATTTACCCCGACCCATCGCTGAATGATATACAGGCTACCACAACTATATATATCCTTGTATGTACATGTAGAGCGTACCACTTCCTGAAGTTTTAGAGCCTTGTCAAGGCTTATCGTAGCCTCATTGCCATTCTCAACGTTAGGCTGCCCTTATGGCGCGATTGTGATAGGTTCTTTCTTTAAGAGCCAGAGTAGAAAAGCAAAACAAAAACAAAAAAGGATAGAGCGCGAAAAGAAGCAATAAAAGATACACAAGAGATTTAAAGGATATTCCGCAGAATACCAGACCTCTTAGAGCCTTTTAGGTGGAACCGGGTTGTATATCACCGTTGACCATACGACTAGGGGGATCGACATCGGTATAGACGGGCCCAGGAGGGCGTTTTTATAGCGATTAAAGCGCGTACTACTGTCGCGCAAAAAAAGACGAAATTACGGCGCAGGAAAATGAAATCAAACATCCATCCAAGATGTTTTTTATTGTAGTTCAAGTGTGTTAAACACTCGCAGAGTTAGGTTCGAACTAACTTACCGAATCTATGTTGTTATACCGCTAGCGCGGTCAAAAGGGGGCAATTAAGGGAAAGACGGTCGCAGATAGTGGCTAGTGGGTCGTCTATAGCGCGATAATACCGGGGCAAAGCCTTAAGCCATTCTTCAACCTCGCTGGCGTAGCGGGCAGCGCACCGGGGCAGGGGTAGTAGGTTCGATTTTGCTCGCGCGTTAGTAACACGATAGGCTGGAAGCAAGGCCTAGCTACCACACCCATAAGAAGTCGGGTAAAGTCTTCCGAATTATCGATATCAGCGAGGCAAGGCGGCTGCGAACACATTGGCTATATCGTCGTTATAGTCGGTAGATTTGTGCGATACCCCGCGGTAGCCCCTCGCCCGCCAAACACCACTGTCCTCGTCTCCCGGGCAGATCTTGGTTTCTTCAAGCGGTGTACCGAATAACCGCTTGAGTAATCGTCCCCAGCACCACGTAGAGGTGTCTGCCCATCGCTGGGGCAGGTGTACAGTAATATTCGAAATCAGATTTACCCCCACACTCTCTCGAATTGATTTCCGAGCCCCAATCTGAAACACGCTAATCTAGATACGGCATGGTGGTGGATCCCTCAGTTCCCAGAATAGATATTGTATTTTACATGACGCCGGTGGGACCTGGACTGGTGTATTTTACAGGAAACTGTTGTACACATGCTACCTCTGCGCCCCTCTTCCTTCCTGTCCATCCCTAGCAACATGCTTCATCACCATATATTACTCCTCAGCGTCGCCCAATGTTGGGCCTAGCAATATGGCTCCGAGACTTCCCCCGCAAAGCTGTATCTCATCCGTGATATGATAAAGATCACTTAGCACTCTGGCGCCACTGCAGCCTTCTATTGGATGTCAAACGAGTGTAGGCGAAGGCTGCGTGTGACGGAGAGGCCAAGACACTAGGGAAGTGGAAGAAGAATATTGCCCAGATTGTTGGGAATGAATTCGAGAGAGTGTAGTGGTAAAGCTCGCGAAGCTTACCAGATGGAGACTCTCTGTGTCATTGATTCATCCACGCTTCTTCCAATCTGTAGTTCCAAAGGCTGTTTTTTTTTTTTCCCTTTGCTACTTGTATACAATACCCCCCTACTTAGGGTAGGCTCAATGGCCTTGCAGCACTACTTACAAGAATCTACCAATCTGATCGCAGCATAAGATAGAATCAAAACATCATTCATCAATAAATTCCTATATACATCCTCCCAAGAGGGGATTGAATACCACCCTCTTAAGAGCCATCGCTAGTAGGCAAATCCACAAATGGATCATCAGCGGGATCCGAGTGCCACCGGTACTCCAGCCCGAAAGCCGTCATACGCGTAAACTTTAAAGCCTTTTCTCGGCTGTAGCCCGGGATAGGCGTCGCATCCCCGCGGAGACCGACCTTCTGCGTCTCCGGGTGGGCCTGACGATCTTCAGGCGCCACGTACGTATTCGCGATAAACGCAAATCCTGCGTCAATTCCAGCCGTCACGCCAGATGAGGTCAGGAATTTCCCATCATGGACCCAGCGGGCGCGCTTTTGCCACTTTACGCCGGGGTCTGGAGATTACGAATGTTATTAGTCTGGTTTTACGAGAACGCAAGCTGATTGCATGACAGTATTGGAAATTGACGTACGCTTGGGAGTGACTTCGTCATAAAGACGCTTGTTGGTGGTCGCCTGGCGACCGTCCAGACGGCCCGTGGCGGCGAGGAGAATTGATCCGGTACACACGGTGAAGACGTTGGGGGCCCGATCGACCAGCTGACCGATTTGCTGGAGTAGCACCGGGTCCCAGACCAGCGGCATCATGCCGAAGCCGCCTGGGATGAAGAGGGTGTCGAAGGAGTGGTCTTCGCGCAGGGCTTCGGCCAGGGAGATGGTTCCCACGATGCCCATGCCATTTTTGATGGAGGTTTCAATGCCTTGGGGTGAGGCGAAGTGGTGGAGGTTGACGAATTCCAATTTGTAGTAGTCACTCCGGGGAACAATTGCGCCAAGGGGACCGAAGAGATCGAGAGCCTCAACTTCGCTGTATACTAGCGATAATATACGGTGATGGGTGGGCATTTTGCTTTCTGATTTGTTGGACTTCGGTTAATATGAAGAAAGAGGATGGAGAGGCTAAGAGTTGAATCTCACGCCAGATGAGCCTCCAGGTACTTATAGTCCCCAGGCTGTAACGCAGGCATGCCTGACTCAGATGCGAAACTCCATGGAGTTTTGGCGGAGTTTCGACCATCCGGGGACTCGGATTCTCAAGTTCCTCAGCGTTACCCCGGTCCAGTTATCCGCGGAAGAAAATCCTACACGATACACACCAAGCTAAAGTGAACCTCCGAGCGGTTCGGTCCGATCCCTGCTCATTGTTACGTACGCCCTTTATTTATACTCTCCAATTTCCTTTTTCTCCAGACCAGATACTTTTGCTCCGTGGATTGAAAGAACTGAAAGACCAAACAAACAACTCCAAAATGCCGACCAAGTATGGATCACCTACAGTGGGCAGAGACGTCGATACCCAATGGGTCCAATGGCTCGCCAGACGCAAAACCCCAATTGCTTCACCACCATCTTCGTCGACCCCGGTGCCAATGCCATCAGCCACCCTTCATGACTCGGGTCCTCTGCACTCCCGCAGTACCGCCACCAGCTACTTTGCTCTACTCTCCGCTGCCCAAGGCCAGCAGCAACCACGTCGCCAGGGCAGGCCGCAGACACCGTCTCCATCAATGGACTCCTCCTGGGGGACCTGGCTCTTCGACCGGGGGCCACGAGGATCCAAGCGGCCAACAAGTGCAGGAGTCAATCCGCAGATGCAAACCACTTCAATCGAACCGCAATTAACATCCAGGCGGGGATCGCGGAAGCAGACGTAGTTGAAGCGGTTCATCTGGTTCAGGGAGGGGATGAGGCGACGGGCAAAGTCGTCATAGGGTGCCAGGGTGCGGCGGATGCTGCGCTCAGCGGCCTCATGATCGGCCTCGATCTTGGCCTGGCCTAGAGCCTTGTGTGTAAGTTCGGCCGCGTAAGTCGAGGTTGACATAGCAGCGGTGATACCCGGCGAGTGCAGCGGGTTGGTAAAGCCACAGGTGTCGCCAATAGCGAGCCAGCCGGGACCGGAGACGACAGGTGACTGGTAGGTGAGAGACTTGCGGATGTACCAGGTGGTGCCGGGGCCGTAGAGGTTCTCAATGAGGTCGAAGTTGGTCATGAATTCCTTGATGATTTCGTACTTCTGGACGAAGTAGTTGAACTTGAGGTCGAACATGCGGGCGAGCTCCTGAGAGCTCGGGAGCTGATCTCCGGGAATACCGGCCTCAGCACAGTCCAGCAAGTACGAGATCATGTCCATGAGGCTGGCAGTGGAGCTGCCTTCCCATGAAGGGAGCTTGATGACCCAAGCCCAACCTTCAGGAAAGCACAGGTGGTTGGTGTGGTCACCTTCGTAGTGACGGAGAGGGATGTTGCTCTCGTCCGCGGGAGCGGTAAAGTATCCCCAGAAGGAATCGTAGTTCCAGCTCTCGAAGCGGTGCAGCGGGGCCTTCTTGGATGCCAGCTGGCGGAAACGGCCGGTGGCGTCAACCAATAGTGAGGAGTTGATGCTGTTAGCCGGCTTTCCGTCGAACTTTCCGGGGTTGATGGAGATCTTGCTGCACTCAGATCCACCGTTGATGGCACTGGCGTTGAAGTCAACCTGGCGGCCGTGGTAGACGTTGACGCCCTTGCGCTGAGCCAGCAGCGTGAAGAGGAGCTCGCTAATGGTTCGCTCAATCTGGTATCCACTCAGGAAGAGACCGGGAGTGCCATTACTGCAGAAGTCGGAGTACTCCCCCTGGTTCTCGCGGTCGAGGAAGTAGAAGGCCAATCCGTCCTTGAGACCGAAGAGTCGCAGAAGATACTCGGCTGTGAGGCCATGCATCTTGCACCACAACGAGAACAGCGGCAGGGTGCTCTCGCCGATCTTGTAGCCAGGCTTGCTGGCCTTTTCGATCAGCGAGATATTAAGGGTTCCCGGCTGATACGTGGCAGCGTGGATCGCGTAGATCAAGCCATGGATACCACCGCCGGCGATGACAACATCCGACTTCTCTGGAATATCGGCGCCAGCGCGGTTGTTGGAGTTGAGAATCTGGGTATCGTTGAAGTTGTTGGCAGCCGCACGATCCGCAAAGGTGTGCTTGGGGATGGGAGTGGTGATAGTCATTCTGCCGGTAGGTGATCGGTGATTGAGAAGGTGATTTGGATGTGATGATTAACTCAGAGACTGAATTGGAGAGGAATGTTCGGTGCATCTTACACTCTTCCTTATATACGAAGCTCAACTCTGTCGATGGTCATCTTCTCGTCTCCAGAATCCGTATATGCACTGTCCGTATATACGCGGACGGCGCAGACTCTCCGTCTCACCATCAGGCTTCAGCCACTAGCAGAGGAGAAGATGACACGAAAGGTCTCCATGGCAGGTCCGTTTGTTGGATGGGGCTCATTATGACCAGACCATATCTCAAGCTGCTTGCCCTAAAACCAGGCCCGGAGGAGTTCAGACGTTGCAAGGTCCCACGGAGGTGGAATCATGTACCAGGATTCCAAGTTTGGCACTAGCGTTGTTTGTGTATTACCCCTAACAAAAATTACAAGCCTATCATCTTAGGTATTGGACATTTTCGAGGGGTTTGCTAGGAAAAAGTCAAGCACGTTGGCATTTGAGAAATCAAATTAGACTTGAAAGCTTGTCTTGATATCGCCTCGTAGATTATCTGCCTTTGACTAGGATAATCGTGGGCCCTGCTAGTCAACTTCCAAGGTTACCTACCTAGGCAGATCGGATGCTAAGCTAATTTGTACACACATTCTCCATTCGCATGAATAGCTTCACCTTAGAAAGTAAATCCATGGATATATGATCATCTATACTCTACCTACCGGCCATAGAGTTAGTGAAGCTAGTGATGCTAGTGATAAAGCTCTGAACTTGACTCTGCGGTCTCCCCTTATCTCAGCGCAAGTATAGTATCAAGGCCAACATTGTAATCCGGAGTCCGAACAACGAGAGTTGTCTTCTCAACAGCTTCCCTTCCAGATACGACCTCGAACACCCTTCAAGTGTTCCGGATAATGGAACAATCAGTTGAGTCAAACTCCCATGGAGATTGGGACTGTTTCCGAGGATCCGGAGTCTCGGAGTTTCGGAGTGAGATATATCATGATCGGACTCTTTGTCTACTTCATGGACCCACACTTGAACAACACCAAAGTTGCGATGCCATGATGTCTGGAGACTACAAATAGCAAGGAAAAGCATTGGATTTAGAGCATCAACTCACTTCACAATCCAATTCACTTGATCCGCCTCGCTCCTTCTCTAAGCAACAGCCTTCGCTTCACACCTCGTACAACAATTCCCAGAACTAGATTCGTTTCATCTTCTCGACTCATCATGACTGGCACTCCCTTCACACTCTACACCCACGCCGGTAAGTACTTCAATTTACTACCAGTTCTCCGGATTCCGCTGACCGTCTCCACCAGGCCCCGGCCCCAACCCCGTTAAGGTGGCCATTACCCTTGAGCACCTCGGTCTCTCATACGACACCGTGCCTCTGGGCTTCGGTGAAGGCAAGGGCACCGTCAAGGATCCCGAATACACCTCTAAGGTCAACCCCAACGGACGTGTTCCCGGTCTCATTGACCACGGCAACAACGAGTTCACTGTCTTCGAGAGTGCCGCCATCCTCCGCTACCTGGCAGACAAGGTAAGAAGCCGAACCACTCAATCTAAGCCTCAAGCCTGACTAACTCCACTTAGTATGACGCCTCCGGAAGCCTGGCCGGTAAGACCGTCGAGGAACGCGCCGCCGTTAACCAGTGGCTCGCCTGGCAGGTGTCCGGCCTCGGACCCTACCAGGGCCAGCTGGTCTGGTTCCTCGCCTTCCACGAGGGCGCCCACGGCGAGAAGCCCAACCCCAGTGTCATTGCTCGCTACCAGACTGAGGTCGAGCGCCTGCGCACTATCCTCGAGGGTCACCTCACCTCAGCCGAGAACGGCTTCGTCGCTCTCGGCCGTCTCACCATTGCGGATTTCGCCATCTTGCCTTGGTTGAAGGTTTCGGGCCTGGCCGGACCAGCCCTCAAGCCCTTCGAGGAGTACCCCGCTATCAACGCTTACATCAAGATGTTGGATGCTTTGCCCGAGGTACAGGCTGCTTACAAAAAGGCTGTTCCTCCCATGTAAAGAATAAAAAATTCGACCACATGTCTCATAGATCGCAGAAAGTTGAAGGAATTGATATATCATAACTTCTGGATATTTGCATATGATTTTTGTTTGCTCTAGTACGCTTAACAAGGATATCCATATCATTGTCATAAAATTGCCAGAGAACCTTGACCAGTCTCGCCCTAAAGCTAGAGGTTTGTTTTTTTTTTTCTTCTTTTTTCCTTCTTTCTCTCTACCCCTGTCTTTTTCTATTTTTCTCTTTTTTTCGCTTCTCCTTTCTTGTTACAAAAACAACTTCTTTCTTCGGTAGGGTCATTCGTAGGGTCATTCGTTTACAGAGGGGCTCAATAGCTCATAGGCCCCTCATGTTCGGAAACAAGAGAGCTATGAGAAGGTGAGAAGCACTTGGACAATGAAATAAAATCGACATAGAAGAAATGAGACCCGAATAAATGAACCTGGGATAGGATCTGCACATAGCAAAGAAACCTCCCGTAAAGCCCTCTACGCACATAGAACTAGTCCCCAGCAGTTTACCAAACATAGGCTGATATGGATGAAAACAGCGGCAAACTACAAAGAGCAAAGTTTCATTCTTACCAGGTTTCTCAAAAGCTTGACTAAATGGCTCTTGTCGATGACGGGACGGGGGGCCTTCCAGGTGAAGTAGCCTCAGTTCACAGGCCCCCATCGACGGAGGAAAACACTTTGATGACTACCCCGCCAGGCCGGAATCTACATATCTACCCAGGCCAGCCACTGAATCAATAGCTATGAATAGAATGAGGACGGAAGCCGCGGACGACAGCGCAACTTGGCGATGCGCTGACATGTGGAATAACCTTCCAGGTTCTCCTACACTTCAATGCAACATCCAGTCGGGCATCAACGGAGCTGAAACACGACATATCCGCGGACGACGGATACCGTAACAGGCAGAGCAGCATTTCCTGGTTTGAGGGCAATCGGACAGAAGAGAAAATATCAAAAAATTGTAGAGAAAAGATCCAATTCCACTCTCGACATTTGAAATAGATTCATTCTCGTCCTCAACCCATTTTTAGACTTACAGTATACCCTTCCAAATCATCAATTCAATCATCGGTGACTGCAACCATGCTGTCCAACGTGATCACTGCCCAAAAAGCCCCCCACATCGACATAGTCGAGGCACCCCTTCCAGCCATCCGAGCATCGTCCCGGGTAGCATTCATACCCCACGCAGAGACCTGCCGAAACCAAGAAGCCCTCGTTGTCCGTATTGCAGAGATCATCGCCTCATATCGCATCTGCGGGCCCGACGACCGCTACGAGGATGTATACAAGCCCCGACTCCTCGAGACCCTGCAGTATTTCGTCTCGAACAACAAGGAGATCAACCTGGTGGTCCTCGCATACCCGTTCAAAAGTCCAAACCGTGAAGATAAAGTCCTGGGACCGGACCCAGACGTTGGCGAGCGCCTGTCCCTCGAACATTTGAACTCGCTCGGTGCAAGAATTACCCAGATCTACCCAGGAGGCGCTCAAATCACTATAGTCAGCGATGGCTGCTGCTACAATGATCTGCTTGGTGTGTCCGATGAGGTAACATACCGGTATACCGAGGGCCTGCACCGGATTGTGGACAGACTGGGTCTGCGCCATATCCGTTTTGCAGACCCATTCGATCTTCTCATGGTGCACCCTGCGTGCCCGTCAGCGAGGAGGAATACGTTTCTCGCATCGATGATCTCAAGGAACGCCTGTTCAGAGGTTGCTCCGGCGAGAAACCCCAAACACTGGATCACAATGCCACCCTCACGTATCGCGGATACATCAGGTTCCTGATGTCTGATCTGGCAACCTTCTACCAGAAGAAGAAGGTGAGTAAGAGTGCCATCAAGAAACACTCTGCCGTCGTTGCCCGTGTCATGATCGAGCGCGGCCAGGTCTTCTCGGCTCTTGTGGCGGCCGCCTCGCCGCCCCACGTCCGCCTCTCCATCCACGCGGGTGACAACACGAACAAGCTGTCTGTGGCACTGCTTCCCCAGAAGCGGTTTAGTAACTTCCCTGTTACGCCGTGGCACAACACCCCCTGTCTTGAGGCGAATCAGGTGTCCGTGAGTCTTGGACGTAAGCCCACAGGTGCCACCGACGGAGCCATCTCCTATCGAATCTGCCACGACGACCTAGGACTGCAGTTTCTGTGCGCAGATGTCTCGATGTACGGCGTGATTGAAAGCGAGCTCCAGACCGAACTCCACCCGCTATACCCCTTCGGACTGAAGGTTCGTGTCCCGCAGGACCTGCCGATGACACGAATGCGGTTGGACCGGGTCGCGGAGCTGGCTCAGGTGCATTCCCCGATTTTGTTCGAGGGCCTGGACCCCATGCAGTATACCGCCGAGACCGGCAAGGAGTTCCTTCGTGTCGCTGGTCGCGGACTGTCGCTAAGCCTCCTGCATGAAGGTGTTGCTGCGAGTTCGGCGGCCACGTCTTACTTCGTGCAGATTCCTGCTGCACGGGAGGATGGTGATGCGCTCGTTCCATTTGTTGAGGCGGCTGCAGCGTTGGATGATGTTCGTCTTCGTGTTTTGCATCGCTGGTAGGCGGGCGATGCTGTGGTTTCTGACCATCGCATTGCCCTTCCTATTCATCTCAATCCATCTTTCTTGAGGGTTCTCCGTGGAGACTAGTAGATACCGGTTTTTTTGGTTGGTATACGAAACAAATTGGCACGTAGATAGGTTGGTTATAGATATACGGGATCGCTGTTGTATTTAGTCTCATGGAATATATATATGGTGTTGATAGTTATGTATTAAAAATTCTTGATCACAAAGCACACAAACTCTTCATTCCAGTAGAGAAATCTCACACCAGCCGTACTGGATAACAGGGGATTGGGGGAAGTAACAGTCGAGGATGAAGACGTTGATTTAACAGCACATGTATTTTGAGACAACGCCTTAGGTGTGTCCTCATTTACGATGGCAGAACCTGCATAAAAGAATCCACATAATGAAAGATTGAAAGTTCCCGTATGTATTACTATTTTATTGGGTTCGCGGTAGCATTGCCTTTTCCAAGCCTTGCACCTCTGCTGGCAAAAATACAAATTTGAGTCGATGGCTGTTAATTCAAGCGATTAGGTATGGAATGGAATAAAGAGAGATTTGGAACTGCCACAATATTTTGGGAATTACGTAGGCCTCCAAATCACTCATCCACACCCTAGTTCATCGGCCATGGATCACGAGTCGCCGGTCAAATTGCGGTCTAGGGCGTGGGGGGTGACCTGATCATTCGATCAGGCTCAGCATATTTGAGGGGTGACCGCATTCAGCATGCAACTGCACACAGATTTCCTGCCTCAAGTACGATCGCCAAAGCATAGCATAACAACCTCCCAGTTTCAGCTTCTCCGGCCCTTGAACCCTTGCTAAGGCACGCACAAAGCGTACTTTGTCACCCAGGCCTCTCCGCTTGGCCCTTCTAACAAGCTGCAAGGGAAAATCAACCGCGATGGGATTCTAAGCCACCGCCACGGTTTTGTTTCGTTTCCAGAACCCCTAGATAGCAAAAGAGAGAAGAGAAGGGTGGATCTGAACACAAAGGACAGGCCAAAGTCCACTGTGTTATAGTGGTCATAGTGATCTATCGTGTGAGATGATCCATGCCGTTGTGGTGTTGAGGAGTGTAGAAAGGAGACAATGATTGGCAATTGGGGAAAAATAATATCGGCGCCCCTCCCTTACTCCTTCGGTCAAAGAAGTTCACCTGGGCACAACTCGTCACAGTCATACAGTCAGCTCGGTTCAAATGTTGCATGGGTTCCAACTGGGTCTTTTCATTTGGCCTTTTCATTCGGTCTTTTTGGTTTCCGGAGCCTTTCCTTTTTGCTTCCTATTCCCGTCCCTCGATCTACATTTGCTGACCTTTCACTCTGGTTCTCTTTCTCTCGCACGTCCTCTCTGGTGGGTCACGAAATGGAAAAAGGAGAATCTGTTCGAAAATGGATCCCAATCTCTCTTTCTCGTCGCCACCAATGCTACAGCCCATGATCCCGGTTGCGGTACTCCATTGTGCACATATTTTCCAACCACCCGAGGGGGAAAGACTTACTTGAAGACTGGAGACTAGAGACTCCACAACGAAGGTTTTTACCTATCGCCTTTCGTGGCAGGTGGTCGTGAGAGTGAGATTACTCGACAGTACTACTTGTAATACAGAGTTCACCGTCACAAGGACAAATTATGGATTTCCTTACACAGTATTCCCTTATTCCCTTATTCCCTTTTTTAAGACAATAAAACAACATGACAATTACAAAAATGAAAATCAATTCTCGGCCCTTAGAAGGATCAGGTCTGGAATGAAGTGTATCACTCATCCCTGTGTTATAGCAATCCCATCCCACCGATGATCCCTCTGGTCACCGTTCTACCCTCGACCATTGGCGTATGCAACGACCGCCATCGTGATACTCGAGGCGCCCCGTTATCGGCCGTGTCCTAGGTCGCTTCGCTTCGCGGAATCTCCGCCTATCATGGAAATCATCAGAGCTCATCGCTTTCTTCGTTTAGAGCCACAAAGTACCCAACGTTGCGTACTATGTAAGTACAAACAAAGGTATATATACTGTACTTCGTCGCGGGATAGAGACGTCTTAGTCGTCTACTTTGCCGTCTCAGTCTGATTGGCGAATTACAAAATTTCCGGTACACACCTTGTAGTTCTCCTAGGAAACCAAATAATCATCCTTAATAATCTAATATTTGGGGGGGGATTGGTGGTTAGGGTGGCTGATTCAATATAGAAAAGCTGAAGCCGATCGCTAAGTACTGCACCCACTCTGCTATAGTACTTTTCTTAGACTGCGAAAGCATTCGCCAAGGATGTTTTCATTAATCAGGGAACGAAAGTTAGGGGATCGAAGACGATCAGATACCGTCGTAGTCTTAACCATAAACTATGCCGACTAGGGATCGGACGGGATTCTATAATGACCCGTTCGGCACCTTACGAGAAATCAAGGTTTTGGGGTCCGGGGGGGGTATGGTCGCAAGGCTGAAACTTAAAGAAATTGATGATTAAATTTGAAACCCAAATTGGGCGACTGTTTGAACCGGGGTAGATCCCCGCCCCGCGAGTAAAATATTGGCCATTTCTCGTACAGTCGCATGCCGGTGGGCTCCTCCGCGTGAATATATAGAGAGATCCATTGTATAAGCGATTTTTCTTCCGTTTTAGTCAATTTATGACTATTGGCGCGAGTTTCGAAGCGATTTGAAAGGCCGGTAAGACGATTCCGTAAGGAAGAAAATAGTACACTAAATTGGCGCGCTGCTTCGCGAATTGAAGAGATTTCTTGATTTTTAATAGCCTTGGTAGCTAATAAAAGCCTGCCTTCTTGCTCTATTGGATTTTGAGAGGATCGGGAGCGAATAGCATGCAATCGCTCTTTATTCTTGGGTTTTTCCATGTTGAAAGACGTACGTTTCCACGTCTGGCTTTGGGATAGCTTCCCATTGTAAGCAAGCTGCCATTGTCCTCTGCGGCATCGGAAGGATCTGCATAATAATGTCATATTAGGTTTTGTTCGAACGGAATAGTTGGGTAGAGACAAACTTGGAATACCGACGGTTTCGAAACTTATGAACAGTCTGAGTTAGTCCTTGAGGACAGCTTGGGACTGAGATAACTGGCTGCGTTCGATTCTTGTCCATTCCGTAGCCAACGGATTTCAGACAAAAGTCCTTCCCAAAACATTTCGAGATTGTTGTATTCCTATGGCCTGCTCTTCGATCTCACGAGTGATGCGCTGGAGTTCCGGTCGCCTGTCCTGAATTATATGTTGCCACTTGTTTGTTTCAACAACTGCCAACAATATTTCATTTTCCATGGCCAAGGCTACGCTTCTCTCCTTATTGGAGATGCTTTTTGAGGTGAGAAAAAAAAAACAGCATGTCTAGTGAAGTGAATCAGTCAGCCGAATGTTTCAATGTTGAGAGCTCCGAACTTTACATACGACGCAGAGAGTTCTATCGTCGTATATGTGGTATTTTCAAATATGTGCAGCCATTCTGTCAATAGTCACACTTTTATGTCTCTAAAGGAATCAAGACGGTCTCAGTCCGGTCCGTGCATAGTATCGTTTGCCGACTATTCGGTCCATTCTCTGAGAGTATCCTAGCATATCCGTTGCTCCAGATTGCCAAACGAAGATGATATTAGACTTCATGACTGAGCCTGCTAGGTTCTAATTGACCTAATGCTAATGACAGTCTCCCTGAAGCAGTGTCAACGAAAGACAATCGATGGCACAGTCCTGTTGTTAAAGCCTCGGTTGTCCTTTTGGTAGCTTTGAGGTTTTCCAGAAGGGCATAGATGCTCCGCTGCGAGATTTTGCGTGGGCAGTGGGCCCAGTAATGTTGATCGGTTCGATCGTATCATCGTAGGCGCGAGATAAATGCCAATCTAGAGTACGGTTAGTTGATGCGGAACAACGAGCGAATGAAGGCTGAACTCACTGTGGTATATTCAGAAGCGGTCTTTTTGTTTTTTTAAGTAGTTTAGAGGCAGAGGAATGATAAAGACTACTGTTTTCGAGCAAGTGGCTAGATATAATGGCATCGCTTTAGGCAGAAATGTTAGGGGTGGGGGGCAATGTTTAGAGTTCCTAGGATTCGAACGAAATAGCTATAGGCCCTTAGGACTCTAGTAATACAGCTTAGTGGGCTCCTGGGAATGCACCGCAGGCTCCCAGGAGCTCATCGGGTATTATTGTTGATGGTTTGTCTTTAGCTTACAGATTACTTAGCAATGGCGTGAAAGACATAACGTTATACGCCTAGGAAATCCTTCGGGTCGTGCGCTCATTGGCGAGAGAAGTGGCTCATCATCGTCACCTACTGAACACTAATTCCTCCAGTTACCGATATAGGGAAGGGTTCTAGATCTTTAAGGTATTCCTAGGAGCATAGACTGAAATGAGGTATTTTCTGATTGCTAGTTAGAATATGTTAGGCAAATGAGGGGCCGCAAATTTCGTTATAGGCGGCTAGATCATCCAGTAGGCATGATCGATGGGTCTAGAATATTTTTGCGGATGTCCATCGCTAGAGCTGAAGTCGTATTCCTAGGAGCAAGCGGCAGGCAGCAAGAGCGATAGTCCGTTAAAAAATCAACCAAAAAAAAAATCAGAATAAAACACTAAACTGGATTTACAAACCATTCAACTGCGGTTTTCTGAGATATTCCTAGATATTGTAGAACCAAAAATAGAGGGTTGGATATTTTCCGCAACTATGTAGAGCTCGGCGAGGTTGAATAGTGGCATAGGCGCAGAATAGTAAAGCCAATAATATGGCTATACTGTGCATTTGCCTTCCAGGTGGAGGCACAACAACCAGGATCGACCGCCAAATTGATGACACCAGCCTTTCGTTGAGGGGACAACGGTTAAGTGCTGGGTGAACGATTGCATTTGGATGGGGCTAGCGTGGTGCATTTTATTGAGGTGACCTGCTGACTTAGCTGCTCTCCCACTTTGCTCAGGCTGCTCAGGTGACGCCCAGTGAGCAAGTCCTTGAGCTTATATAATAATCAGGTCGTGCTCAGTGAGCGAGTCATCTAGCTTATGTAATAATCGTGTGATGCTCAGTGAGCGGGTCTAACAATTACGTAATACTCAGGGACGTGCTCAGTTTTACTCAGTGAGCAAAAAGCGGCAAGGGGTGAGCACTAAAACGGAAAAGGAAATCCAACTTGCCCGGCCTAAAATCCGGTGTATATGTAGCACAACTGTATACATCGCACGAACCCGGGTCCACCTCCATACAATCACCATGATTGGCCAGACCCAAATCCCAAACCTGCCAATTCCACAATGGCCTTCCTTCACATTCGACCCGAAGACCAAAAATAAAAACCGCAACATAACGCCTCGTCAAATCAAAAGCGATTTAACCAGCACGACTTGACGGATCTCGGGCCAAATCGCCATTTTTCACAGCCCGCAAACCCGAAACGGCTCTTAGTACAACCCCAGAGTACAACCCGATAGCAATTTGAATTCGAAATATACTTGGCACTAACGGCTTTAGCCAAAAGAAGGCGAACATGGGGTCTTCCGATACTTTCCCGACCCTGGAATCCCTTCATTTCCCGTCGGCGCAGCTATCAATCTCCCAGACACTTTCGTCTCTGCGTCGATCGGCGCTGTCCGTCGCCAATCGGCTCCAGTCTATTGAGACCGATGCCACCTTTGCACAAGAGGTCGCTGACCATTATGGCCTACCTCTGGTTGCTAATGAACGCTGCGGAAGCTGGTATATCCCGCCTACGGCCAAGGTCGGCAGTGCTTATTTCAAAAGCACCGATGGCCATACCGGCCAGTGGGATTTTAGCTTTCGTAGGCTGAACTTGCAGTTGCTCCCGCTGGCTAGGGATCATGGGGGGTTAGTTTAACCTCTTTTCTTACTGTCTGCTTTTTTTAATCATGGATTGAAATGTGTGTTGGAGTGACTTTGGTTGACCTTCATTGACCCAAGTATATGTTGTAAACTATGGCAACAACTCCATCATTGCATGATCCTCCCAAGAGCCCATAAAAAGAACACAAGGAAGCTGACTATGTTTTCTTTGATGCTGCAGCTGTGTAATTGTGGACTCAACTCGCCGAGGAAAACGTATGTACTACCTCTACCTGGACCATTCCCAACTACGGAATTATCCCCCCCACCTCCCTTAACCCAGATGGTCACTATGCATGCCATGGCTACGGTCAAGCCTCGAGCCCTCTATTAACCCGCCGCTAGTGATGCCAGACGCATTATCAAAAACCGTCCCAATCTGGAGCGCCGTTCTAAACAGAGCCCTGTTCCCATCCGCAACTGAATACCACCCAGTCCGCCTCCCACCCGATTACCTGGGCGCATCAGAAGAAGCACAGATCGAGAATCGAATCGAAGGATTCGTGCATTCACTAAAGGTACTCATGCGTGACATTATCATGAATTGGGCAAACCAATGCACCAAACCCCTTCCTTATCTGGGCAAAAGTAGCTGATACTTAATACCCACCAGAGCCTGAAACTCGATCTAGACAAACTGCGCGAGCAACTCGGCAAACCCATCCAGATTGCCTGGGCTAATAGGACATATTTTTACCCGGAAAATTTGCAGACAAGCGATGAGTACAATCTACTCGTACTATGTTCCGCTTCCAGGCGCGTGCATGGCGCTGAAATGTCCGAGGGCGGATACATCCAAGGCGCGGGCGATGATAGCGAGGCGTGGGCGCATGGGCTGACGCCGCCGGTGTTCTGGGCCAATCAGGCTGTTTTGAAGAGTACACCTGAAGACGAATTGCCGGAGCTTATTGACCGACTGGTGGCTGAGCATAAGCAGCTTGATGTGGCTCAGGACGCAACACTCATTTCCCCTACGCGCAATTTGTACATTGGCTCGGGAGCGGGGGCTAATGCTGGGGGTCGGTATGATCTTATCATTGACTGCAATGGGAGTGCTGCAGCTGTGGAGGGAAATTCGAAGCGGCTTAATTTGGGCTGTGATTCTGGGAAGCTGGGAAGTCGAGATCTACGGAAATGTCTGGAGAAGGTGCGTGAGTTTATCGGCGCGCGTCTTGGGGCGGATTCGTCGCTGTCGGTGCTGGTTACCTGTGAGAATGGGAAGGATCTTTCGGCAGGGACGCTGCTTGCGATAGTTTGTCTGTTCTATAACGACGAGGGTATGTATGCAATGTCCCAGGTGATCTGGGTGATGGATTGAAACGCTATGTGAAAGAGGGGAAAGTAACTAATTGTTTCTCACAGGCGGCTTCGATGCCTCACTGAGCAAGCGTGCGATCGGCAAGCAGTTCATTCGACAGCGTCTAGCCTGGCTCGTGTCGTCGAAACATGACGTGAACCCGTCTCGCGCCACGCTTCAATCTGTCAATGCTTTCCTGATGCAGCCGCCGGATTATTGACCTTGAGCAATGTGACTACATTGCATCGCTTGGTCGGGCCTGATTGGTTTCGATCGCCTGAGTCATTAAGAACATGCTCCAGAGATCGCTCACTCGTTGTCTACGGCCTCCACGATAGCGCCGGCGCTGCCCTGGTCGAAGGAATCCAGCACCGCCATATCCTCCACACTGATGTCGAAACTGAAAACATCCGCGTTGGCCACGATTCGTTCGGGATTGTCGGTCTTGGGAAGAGGCACCCAGCCCTTCTGCAGCGCATAGCGGATCAAGACCTGCTGAGTGGACTTGCCGTATCTCTTTGCGACTTCCACTAGTGCTGGGTCGTTGGCTTTATAGTTTCGCACGATGGGCGAATATGCCTCGACAATAATGCCGTTCTTCTGGCAGTATTCGTCGATGACGCGCTGCTGGCACCAAGGGTGGAGCTGCAAAGATAGAATGTCAGTGATCACGATCAAACCAAATAGCTACCTATGTAGATATAAGAGTATTAATAGAAGTAAAAGCACCAACCTCGATTTGATTAACATGAGGCGGGAACACCTGCGCATATGAGCGCATTTCCTCGATGTGTCCCACGCCGAAGTTGCTAACACCGATACTCTTCGTCTTGCCCTCCGCGTACAGCTTCTCAAGCGCCTGCCACAAAAGCTTCCGCCCAGCAGAGCCTGAGCTGGAGGAGTGAATCAAGAACAAGTCGACATATCCATCTGCACCGCCGATCTTGTGCACAGAAGCCAGTAATTTATCGTAGGTAGCCTCGACCGAAGCTGCGGGGCTAAGAATCTTGGTCGTGACGAAGATCTGATCTCTGGGAACGCTGGTGGTGCGCAGTGCCTCACCGACTTCCGCCTCGTTGGCGTAGAATTGTGCTGTGTCGATGTGTCGGTAGCCTGCGTCCAATGCCTTCAGGCAGGACTGCACGCACTGATTGGTGGGGGAGCGGTAGACACCGAAGCCGAGGCGGGGAATGCGGACACTCGAATTTGGGAGGGGGAGAAGGTCGGTGATCTTGAAGGAGGCGGACATCTTGGAGTGGTTGAGGGGTATTGCTGTTTGCGAAAAGAAAAAAAAAGTCGAGTTGGAGTTCTCAGTGCTTTCAAAAGAATAATCTCCTAGCCCCGCTTTGCGAAAATGAGGTCATTTGGATGACTAAACTCAAAACACCGCGGCTTTCCGGCATCACTGGTTCTCCAGTGCTACAATAATCTACGCTCAAATAATCAAGTCGGATTGAATTTCAGTCTATTTAGCTATCCTGCTAAAAGATTCTTTCACATCATACCTTTTTATACAAGGTTACCATTGTAAAAATTTGACATTTGTTCCTGCGTTGTATACCTTGGCCACCAAAGAATTGCGTGATACCATTTGATTGGGCTTACAATTGGTTTTATAATGCTACCTATTGCGCCATCGAAGAACATTGCGGGGATGGCTTCAAATTTACTAATGTACTCTGTAGAGTGTTTTTGAAAAGGTCAGATCAACAGTGGGTATGGTTTTTGGTCAATTATAGTAGACACGTATACTTATGTAGCTCCCGATGGGAAGTATAGCGATAATAGCTTGTCTCTACAAAGGTTCCAAACACGCTGCCGGAGTAGCACACCGTGGGAGGAATTGAAAGGAAGCTCTTCGTCAGCTCTTATCACCAGACAGAGAGTAAAAGTGGTTAGAGTGGCCGTGGCAGTGGTGGGAAGTGGTTCCATAAGACATTAAGACTGGGTCACACCCAGGCGAATATCATTCAGGTGCTTGAATATCTTGGCGACTTTGTCAGGCTGTGAGAGATCAACCAAGGACCACTTCGCGCCCCGCATAATCTTCAGCAGTACCCACAGACCCACGAAAACAATGACCTGGTTCAATAAATTGTAGTTAGTACATGTAAACTGAATTTATCACGATGCACAATACTCTCTTACCGTCAGGTACGATGCGAGGAATGGTAAAAGATGGAACCCATTCCACAATGCAGCCCCGTTTGCGACTAATGAGACAAAGATGCAGCCCAACAAGGATAGATATGCTGTCAGTGGCTGTCTATGACTGCGGTATGGATACTCATCAGGATCCTCCTCGTTCCAGCGCTGGATGTGGGGAATAGCTTCGCGTTTGAGATGATGACGATGTTGATAAATGCTAAGGAAAAAATTCTCGTTAATATTGCGAATATCCAACAGCTGAATGGCGAAACGAACCAATGGTAGAAGCGAATAAACGCCAGACACTCGCACGCCCAGACGATTAAAACCGCAGAGTATGCCATTTGGCTCAATACCTCCACAAACTATTCGCCTTTCTTAGCTCTGAATTCGAAGTGAGGGGGAAATTAAGCCACATCCTTACCATATCCACGGAGGATCGAGTCCCCTTCAAGGAGGACTCAGTTGTTTTTGCAGAGGATTGGGGTTTGTCATTTGCGCGGATGAGTTGCAGGAATGGCACCCACCAGAACGCAACCGCGGAGAATATCATAGCTCGCAGAGGAACCTGGCGTCTATCCGTTTTGCCAAACCACGCAAGGACATGCAGATACCATCTTTGGCCGTCACCTACATCCAGACGACTTGTTAAACCAAACAAGGTTCGAGAGGCGACATACAGATTGGTAGCAGCACAAGAGAGACACGTGAACACGAGGAATGCATTGAACACGTCTGCCAAGTGCGGAATATTGGACATATTGGCAATTGCAACGAATGCAGCACTGTTTGAAGGACTGGTGCAGCCGGCCTCAACATCCAGTGAAAGCCAGCTGAGCCGAGGGAGAGCGCAACTACTCCGCTCTATATCAAATGTTGCGACCAACCCACTGATGGTATAGCCAATCATTGCAAGTACAGGAATGAACCTAGCAGAAAACTTGAATGATTTCCCGATATGGGCGTTGTTAGACCGGATTTTCGACGTTTCGTCAGCGGGTTGTGGCCATTTTGCCTCCAGGGCGGAGGCAGCAACAACTTCAACTCCGGTGTAGGCAAAGGTTGCTATCGAGATGCTCATGCTGATATGTCAATTAGTAATCTGAGCAGAGCGAAACTTTGGACGCATGTCACGACTCACAGGAAAGCAGTGCCCCAGTTATTGGCCGCCCGAGTATCGAATTCGGTAGGCGAAGCCCAATCTGATGGTATTAGTACTTCAATATGGTAAGCAATGTATGGGACGGTAGCTATCGCTTACACTTGGTGCGCAAGGGGCGAGTATTTGGGCCAGCTGCTCATCGTTAGCACATATTTTCAAAAAAGCAGATATGCCCAATAAAGGATACCCGTGGAGCACTTTACTAACCTCCAAGGTTGATTGCAATCAATGTCACGATGATAACGCCAAGAAATAGTATTTTGATACTGCCTGTTGCTACTTCCAACCAACCATAGATCTGAATACTCGTCAGCTGGCACGTTCTCGGTCCCGAAGTCGCAAGCATTTTGTATTGGTGAATACATAACGGGTGAAGCGTACCTCAATTCTTACGGCATTGATGAAAACCAGCACCAGTGGGATCCCAAAATAGATAATGCAGCCCTGTATGACCGGACTATCATGAAAGTAATCCCAAAAAGTGAACTCCGCAGCGGAGGTTGCCACCAGTGTGGAGAAAGACATCGAATAGACAAACCTTTGATAGTTGTCAGCGTCCCCTCATGAATCCTAGATTTCATCCATCCCTTGGGGTGAAATTTGGTGTCTTTGGGAGGGTGAAGGTGCAATTTACCAATATGTAACACCGACCGCGATCCCTAGTTCTTCGTCGACAAACTGGCTAACATATACTGACAATGCACCAGGTATTGGCCAAATACAGAGCATTTCAGTGATACATTGCATGACGCCCCATGTTAACACTCCAATGAAGATAAACGATAGAACCACCGCCAACGGTCCGCCAAGTTCAAGAATCTGACCCCCACGCCAGTAGAGGCCTGTACCGAGAGTTGCATTGACTGTGATCATCTATCTCTGTTAGCTTTCCAGATTTCGAAGTACAAAATATGGCCAATATTGCCTATTGCAGTCTATAATGCAGGAAGGTCCCCTCAAGTTCGGAACTTCGGAGATCTTTCACATACAAATAGATGAACGCCTCTCAGGGCTCTGCTAACAGTCCGTTCCTTCCCAAGGGTGATAACAAGGTGTATATCTGGGCGTTTGATGACACGCGCGGTGTCATTTGAAGTCATGGAAACAAATGATGGTGAGCTTATTAAGCTTGAAGAATCATTTGGCGGGTGAAGAGAAGAATTCTGAGATTGTGGATGTGGACTTCCAGATGGGATTTGTTCTACCCTTCGTGTGGGCAAAACACCAGAGAGCCAGGGTCGTGCCCATTCTGCCAGCTCTATCGACTGTGACTCTGCCGGCTGCGACATGATACAACGAAGCGTATAGATCTCCTATCCAGGATTACCAGACGATGCAATGTTCGAAAGCTAGGGGAAAGGTAGCTTAATAAAGTATATAAGATTGAGCCGCATTTCAAGCATAATGGAGTTAACTCAATAGCAAACTGTGGATATCGAAACCTTCACCCCCTTTGCTCACTAGTTGCCTTCAAGGTTGAGAGTTGCATGCAATCAGTTTGAACCCGGGTTGTGCTGGTGCATGAAATCCCGATCATCTCACAAAGCGGAGATGATATCCCCATGTGGAATAGTCCCGCATTATCTCAAGACAACTCTCGAATCAGCGATACATGATAGTCCACGCAAAATTGCAACCGATAAGCAAGGCAAGTATTGGATTTTGTGACGTGGCAGTGCAATGGCCCGGGTTTCAGCCGCAACTTAGGGTTTATCAGGTCCCCCGTGTTTGGTCTGGAAACGCAACCCGCAAAGTAAAAGATTGCAATTAGTTTGAATAGTCATGCCTGGAAATCTCCAAACCACGAGTTGTCGCTACTTGCGAAGAGACAGTCTTCAGGCTTTGCTTGAGCGATTGTTCCCTGGACAAACAGACTTCGGTATTATGGTAACTCGCCTGAAACTCGCTCATCGGGCGTAAGGCTAACTCGCACGTTCTAGCTTCTAGAAGACCAATGGATTTTCACTGCCCCTAGAATAGTGGACCCTGTAAGTTGTGATCTATTGCCCGTCCTGAAATGAAGTCTGTCGCTAACACCTCTTGTCTGACAAGGATGATCTTGAGTGAGACATGTTCAGTTCTGATGTCAAATAAGAAAGCTGACATGGAAGTAGTTCGGCCCAGGACGATTAGCCTAAGGCTTTTGGTGTGGCAGGGTCAGAGGCACACCGAGTAGGGGCGCAGCAGGAAGGCTCATCACACAGTGGACATAAGGGTGCAGCGGAGTGGCGATTCAATAAATCCACCCCAGATCTGATATATTAATCGAGATCCTGAATTTGATCAACTCCACTCTTGTCATTCTCTTTAAAAGCTACACATAATGATTTCATTTGATAATTACTGCCTAGACCACCCGGTTGAACCCGTACAGGTCTTTGAGGTCGGACAGGACACGACATCGTTTCCCACAAGAGCCTCATATCAACGATCAGACCTTCGCACGGCAGAGGACACAGCATCCTTTCTGAGAAACAACCAGAATAATCAATACAAATGTCGCCTTGTGTATGTTAAATCAATAACACCCTATTCTTCTGCTAATAATTGACAGGTCAATATGTCAACGCACTGCCTGGCGACCATTGCAGATCACTAAACCGATGCTTGACCTCCTTGTTGCGGGACACGGGATAGGCCCATCATTCTGGGCGGTGCCATCCTGCTTTTATCGGCGCACCGATGACTTCGAGGTGGTATTTTGCCTTCCATTTACAGAATCCTGCTCTGGCTCCGTGATTGGTATATGCCTGTACCTCTGTGGGCGTTAATCATTTACTAAAGTGAGAAACAGAAATATCTTACACTCTAAGATACCCCGAGTACAAGCCACAAGAGGACACATGGGTTATTCGCCAGACTGGAATCTACCACCGATACGACAAAACTACATCCCAAAGTCTTTTCGTACTGTTCAATCCCAAGCCACAATCTAAAGCGCATTCGACTGTTGAGAATTTACTATGCAATCTTTGCCCCGAAGTGGAATCCGATCCCTTTTGGTTACACCGGGTCTTGTTTGCAACATACTTCCCTACATGGAGGAAATATATCGCCGTACAAGAAAAAAGATTCCTACCCCTTGCACGCAGTGCGATCGCCAGTTTCATTGATGGGCAGTTGGGTCTAGGCTACGATAGCCTCAGAACATTGACTGGCTTGCAGACTCAATTTCTCGAAGTTTCAACCATCTTAGCATCAGCGACAGACGTCCTTGACGGCCTTTGTGCCCTTATTAGCTCCGGGTTAATGACCTCAACAGATCACACCGGGGTTCACTTTTACAAAAATCAGCGTCGAGAGTGCGTTGCAAATTCTCATAATGCTTCGCATTTGCAAGAGCGGGCACAGATTGTCTCAAAGCTGCTGGCCGACACTTTGTTGTTTCGGGATCAGGCCCTAGCAAAGCAGCAAAATTCGAACATGCTACAGCTGAACAAATCAGCTGTATTTATCACCACTTTGACGTTGGTATACCTTCCGTCATCATTCTTGGCTGTCGGTACCCCTCCTCTGATTTTCAACACATCACAACGGCCAGACCCCGACTGACATTCTCTCACAACAGACTATATTTGGTATGAATTTCTTCGATATGGACCAAGTCAGCAATCGTATTGTTGGTACGCCTATGATATGGATATTCTTTGTATCATCTATTGCCCTGACGGCAGTCACGTTCCTCTTATACTACTGGTTATTGAGCCGCGATGGTGCAGCGTTCCGCGGGCTTGCACCGAAAATCCGAAGTAGCCCAGCTTGGACTATCGAAGGGGTAAGAAGTCGATTCACAGGTGTCTCCAATGCCAGTATTGAGTTGCAGGAATGTTCGGCTTGAGGAACAAGCTTTGATAATAGAAGCCCTTAGAGTAGCAGTTATATAGAACTTTTATTGGATATGGGGTAGGAACCCCGTTTCTAAACACGAGCTCGAGATGCATGCATAAAGAGAAACGGGAGAAAGTATACATTGTGTATGGGAATAGTATAAAATACCAAATAAGGACAGAATTATGGACAAGAAAGTCTATGCTGCCACTGAAGCCGATATTGAGCTGGGCACAGTGATTTTGTATATGCGACATTGATTTGCGCCCATCAAAGCGGCTAGAATAACAACACTCTCTTCTTCATTGTGGACAACTCTCTCGGCAAACTCATCGCTGTATGTCAGGCCCCGGATTTCAGCAAGCTCTGCCACAGAACTGCTTGTTTCCTCAGGTGTTGGTACGGCAATCTCCAGCAAAAGCATCGCATTATGGGCCGCGCGCCTCCCTACCGCGAATATTTTCTTGTCATTTTTGCCCATCATCAGTTTAAGTACCCGATAATTCTTGATGTCGACTTTTGCATTACGCGTAATATCCACTTGTTCAAGACTTCGGATGTGCAACTGTTTTTCTCGGGTGACAAGTGCACAAACATGGGGCTTTTGGAGAAATGGTGTGAAAGTGGTAAAAAGACCAACAGTGCTGCTAGTGTCAAGGCCCTGTATGGGAGAGATTAGATAAATAGAAAATTTCAAGTTGAAAATTGGAGCCGAAGACTTACTTGTGGCTCGATGATGAGCTGACATAGCTGGTTAGATCGAAAGGACAAATGAATGACGGGAATCTCGTGTTTGTGACTTGGACCGCTTCGCTGTGGTCGAAAAACCATGTACAAGTCGTCATCTGTTGCAAATGATAATTGAACAATATCTGCTGCCGGCCAATCAAGTTTATACCTCGGCTTCCACTCATGCGAAGAATTGAGGTAGCCAAAATATAAGGATCCTGAATTCTGGTCTTCATCTTCGTCGTTGACAATGCATGTCACTCTCTGACTTCCAGGCGCGAGAGCCACCTTTTTAATCTCAGGCAGTGTTGGTAGGGAGACTCGAACCGAAGGTCTGAGATTGACGTCCATATTTGGCCATAGATTGAAGATATAACACTTGCGTTCGAAACTTGTTAGACAGGAATAAAAGAAAAGGTAAGAGAGAATGAATATTCTTACTTGGACAGTGCCTCCAGAGGTGGAAGCTATCAAATTCCTTCTCGTCAGGCTGATACTCTTCCAGCGACACCCTAGTGTCGGGATCGGATATTCTGCAGCCGGGCGTATGCCATTAACCCCCTCTTGCTCTAGAGATTGCGAAGTATATAGCGAAATTTTGATGTCGGTCCAAAACGCGATCACAGTTCCATCCGGTGAGATCTCGCAGCCTTTGAAGGGCTCAGAGGTATTCAGATCCCAATGCTCAACGCGTCTGTCAGTGGCGGGATCTTGCCTCTCACGCTTGAAAGCATCAATGTGCATTCTCTGTAGTACCCTGGCTAGACCAGGCTCTTCTTCTGGCTGACGCGGGCTCGCTTCATTCCCTAACTTCCCGTACTTCCGAAATGTGTGAAGCATTTTATCTTCTAATTGCTGAGCGTTGCATCTCTTCGATTGTTCTGGCTGAAGAACCGCATGCACTAGATAATCTAGCATTGATTTCACCGCTTCCCCTTCCTTGGGGCTCCTCTGTCTCGCTTTCTTTATCAGTTTGTCATGCCATAGTGTGACCGCCGGGTTGATCTTTGGTCGACCGAACAGTGGATTTGTGACAAAGAAGCGATCATAGCCATCAGCGCTGCGATGATTTGCTCTTCTTAGCGCATATTGTTCCACGCCAGAGCTTCCCTCCTCTAAGTATGTGAAAACAACACTGAGGACACATCCTAAAGACCAAACATCGCTCTTTTCTCTCATAGTTCTGTGTTTCGAAAGGGACTCGGGCCCAAGATAAGTGCCGTCTCTGCGTTTGTTGTAGGCCGCCGAGGTAGGTGCATCACCAGGCTGTTGGGACCTGGCAAACCACCCGCCGAAGTCTTTCTCCTTCACCTTTCCGTGAGATCTCAATTTGAGGCTAGACATGCCGAAGTCACTAATCTTCCAAACGGATTCCTGCCTGCCCCCAACATTTTCGAGAAACACCAAAATGTTCTTCGGCTTGATGTCCATATGGTAACAGACCATCATGTCCCCTTCGGCAGTCCTCATACCACTATGAAGAAATTCCAGCCCACGCGCGAGTCCTCGAGCCGAATTGATTATCTGCGTCTTCTCCATAGTGGTATTGGGTCTTTTTCGATTGTCTTCCCTCATGTAGGCGTTCAAATCGCACTCGGCGAGAGGCATGAAGATGCTGTAATTATTTGTCGAGCCAATGACGAGGCTACCGTAAATATCCACGATATTTGGACAGGTCCGATCGCAGGCAAGGATTTGCTTCAAAGTATCTTTTTCCATGTGCTCGGTGGTTTGGTAATCTTTGCGCGCCATTTCCTTTGGCTGTTCATTTCTTCCTCCAAGGACCGGGTCGAAAAAATGCCCCTTTGCAATCTTCACTTGGTATACAGCGCCTTGTGCTCCGTCCCCCCGAAACTTCTGCTCTAGGTAGGGTACACACTGTCGGTCTAGGCTCTGAATCCGAACTTCTGTTTTGGCGCAAATCACGATAGGGCAAAAGCATGCTTGTTGTGTCAGGAATTCATCCGGAGTAACCTGTTCCCCAAAAATATCTATGAGCGCCTCACGTTCCGCCGGCAGAGAGCAAATTCCCGGCGACCAGGCCCTTTGGGCTAACAGCTTGATGGTGAATGTTCGAGCGGCTTCGATGCTGCGGGATGCGAAAATGAGAATAGCGAGGAAATTTTGAAGCTTCCGTTCTCCCATTTTGCAGCTCAGATTGTTTTCGTCAAAATCGAAGTCAAGATCATTATATCCGGTGGTGGGTATATCGCCCAATTGAAGACTACGAAAAAAGCGTCGCAAAACTTCTGGCTGTAGCACTTCTTCCGCAGTGCCATGAGGAACAAATCGGCCTCCCTCATGGCTTTTTTCCATCCTTTCCATGATTTTCACATATATCTCGTCACGTAGTTCATTGTATTGAGTCGATGCCATGTTGAAGTTGGCGTTCTGGTTTACTGGGCGAGTGAGGTTGTTTTGATGTTAAACATCCATGAATGCCAGGCACAACCGTAGAAAAATTGCAAATTGTAGGATAACATCTAAGACTAGTTACCTATAGCATACGGAGTACGGAGTAGGCTGGGATTATCGATACAGTCTAGTTTGGAGACAACCCTAGAACATTTTGCCCTGCCTAATCTAGGGGCTGATCTCCGCTTGTTCAGCTGAAAAGCACAGCAGATAAGACCAAAAAGCAAATATACAACATAGTTGGCCAAAATAGGCCGTGCCATTTTACCCCTGAAATATTCCCCGTCCATTTCTAGCCTATTTTCTTTGTTTCATGTGCTGATAGTCGGGCAATGCTAGAGATCAACTCTTTGACCCTAGGGGGTATTTTTTTCCAGCGCCCAGAAAACCGTAGAATTATTGCCTGTCATGCTAAAAATTACTGTGATGGTATCTCCTGAAATTGCACCCACAACGAGATACACTTACACATGTAAGCTAGAAGATCTCCGTGGGAGCCCGAAAACCCGGGTTTTGCGCCACCGGGGCTTTGTCCTTCAGAAAAGGCTCCCATGTGCCAACTGGAGGCTCGCGGACCATATCATCATCCACCGTAATCCGCAAGCTACTTTTGACATGCATAATGAGAATAATGCGCGTGGCATCAATATGATTCTAGATATTTGCGTCACTCTGTCGACCCACTCCTCGTCCCCCGCAGCTACATCATTCACCCTCAGAAGCTGTAGGTCTCTTAAGACTTGTCCATCCTTTTTGGGATTATACAATCCCTCAACAATTTGGTTCCATAACTCAGTTGGTTAGATTGTGGTGCTAATAACGCCAATGTTGAGGGTTACCCTCTCTAGAACCATTGTCATCCAATTCCCAGGTTTCCTGGTTATTTATTCCATTCATATAGATCACTAAGTTCCTTGAGGCCTGGCTGCGGCCTCCTAGTTAGCAGTCATCTTTGGTACCGTCGTGGAAACTACTATGGTATTCGTATGCTTCGCCTGTCTGTCGGGTCTCCTGGCCCATCCTAAACTAAAATAAAAAAAAACACTGTTCTCAGAATTAAGGAAGCTGCTCTCTTTCTATATCTCTATTTTATTCATCTACTTCCTTGCATTCCTTGGGATTCCATTCCTCTGCTCAAGTGAGGTCACAGTGACTTAGTTTCGAGCGCCAACAACTGGACCTGAACTATCTACTGCTGTATCCTGGCTATTCAACTTTATTGTCGTCGAAGTAACATCAGTGGGATTTGCTGGTATTGACTGGGAATATTTCCTGGTGTACTGCGGTATCGAAACGGTATGTGCGCCAACGATATATTTCTTCTTTCCCGAGATAGCTTGACGCTCACGAGAGAAAATCGATGAGATTTTCCCATCATCAAACTCAATCTTCGACATCGTTACCATGGCAAAAAGAATCGCCGAAGCATGACCATCATGAGCTGTGCGCGGGGGAAGAAGGTGAGGAGTCTGCCAGTCAAGCTGTTTATATTGACTATGTGGGAAGAACAGATAGAGTTGCATAACTGAAGATGCGGTTTTTATTGTGTTTCCTATTCCATATGAGGACTGTATTCAGAATGACTTGATCATAAGACTTGGAAGTAGATGATCTTTCAGAAGCAAAGCGTAGGAAGCACCACGTTGTAGTTAGTACTATAGGCGATCATACATTCATAAGGCAATGTGAGATACGTTGGTTTGACTTACAGCTTTACTATAAGGTGCCCAAATCTTGGAAACAGCCCTGGAGACTACGAGTTACATATAAAATATAAAATGATTTGGAGGCGCTCATTCCAGGGTTCCAAGGCTGGGCATGCATATAGTGCCCAACGGTGCCAGAATTGGCATTTGGGAACTCGAC